GTGTAAACTAGCTTGAATGGGTTTTGTTTGCAACTCTGACAGATAAAGTGGGGTTGTTGTGTATCCTGGTGACTTCCACTTTTTTTTTTTTTTTTTTTGAGTTGGAGTCTCACTCTGTCGCCCAGACTGGAGTGCAGTGGCCGCTCCCGGCCACCGCAACCTCGACCTGCTGGGCTCCGGCGATTCTTCTGCCTCAGCCTTCCAAGCAGCTGGAACTACAGGCGTGCGTTATCACGCCCGGCTAATTTTTGATTTATTGGAGATGAGGTCTCGCCAAGTTGCCCAGGCGGGTCTCGAACCCGCGTGATCAGGCAGTCCACTCACCTCAGCCTCCCAAAGGCGTGGGATTACAGGCTGAGCCACGGAGTCTGGCTGACTTCCATTTTTTTTTTTTTTTGAGTTGGAGTCTCACTCTGTCGCCCAGACTGGAGTGCAGTGGCCGCTCCCGGCCACCACAGCCTCGACCTGCTGGGCTCCGGTGATCTTCCGCCTCAGCCTTCCAAGTAGCCAGAATTATAGGCATGCGCTACCATGCCCGGCTGATTTTTTGATTTATTGTATAGATGAGGTCTCGCCTGTCCTGGCGGGTCTCGAACCCGCGGGCTCAGGCAATCCACTCACCTCAGCCTCCCAAAGGCGCGGGATTACAGGCTGAGCCACTGAGCCTGGCTGACTTCCATTTTTTAAGAATGACTTTTCAATGCCTTTCTTTTCTAATCCCTCAAATCTATATGTTATAATTGAACTATGAAACACAAGAGATTGAGCCGGGCTCAGTAGCTCAGTAGTTTTATATCTTTAACTAAACAGTTAATACCTCAGGGGCAAAAACCACATTCTATTTTTCTTTTTGCATTTCTCTTTTTGTATTTCATTCTGAGCAGAGTGTCCTGAACACCCTAAGAGTTTAATAAATATTTGCTGATTGATTTCCTTCCTGGGGCTGTAGAATGTAAATTTCATGGCCATCTTATCACTTGTTAACATTGTGTGTGTGTGAGGGGGGCGTGGGGGATGTGGGGGGAGGGAGGGAGAGAGAGAGAGAGACAGAAGGAGAGAGAGAGAGAGAGAGAGAGAGAGATCTGAGAATTAACAAATAAATTCCAGGAGCCAGGCTCATTGGCTCAGCCTGTGATCCTGTGCTTTGGGAGGCTGAGGTGAGTGGATTGCCTGAGCCCGTGGGTTGGAGACCTGCCTGGGCAACTTGGCAAGACCTCATCTCTACAATAAATCAAAAAAATTAGCCGGGCGTGGTAGCGTGTGCCTGTAGTTCCAGCTACTTGGAAGGCTGAGGTGGAAAGATCGCCAGAGCCCAGCAGGTCGAGGATGAAGTGGCTGGGAGAGTGCCACTGCACTGCAGTCTGGGTGACAGAGTGAGACTCCAACTCAAATAAATAAATAAATAAATAAATAAATAAATTCCAGGAATGGGGTTTGGAGCCAGAAGTCAAAGAAACCAGTCCCAACCTTGTGTGGACAACCACCTCTTAGTTTGTCATGTATTAACTGGGGCTTATAAAAATACCTACTCTAATCACCTGCTGGGATCACTGGGAACTTCATCAAAGATAGCATTCACTTAAAGACACCTTATGATTATTATCTGGTCCGTGTGAAATGGCACCAGAGAGGAGAGCAGAGAAGAGGCACTAAAATGAGTGTGTAGAGAAGGGATCACAGCTAACCTATTCCACTGTCTATGGTCAATGCTTTTGCTGCATCAGTCTATTGAATTTCCATGTGTCTTTAAGCAGTAGGCATCCTCCTCTTCATCCCCCATCCCAACCAAAGTCATCAATTCTATCTCAGACTTCACAACATCTAGACCCATAGCCCCACTCCCTTTTCCACTCTCATGTCAGCTTCGGCCCTAGTCTTACCTTACAGTTTCTGCCTCTTCTGGTCTCTGACCTTCTTCACCAGTTATGGCTCTAAAAAAGCAAATCTGATTGCATCACTTCCAGCTTTAAGAATCTTTGTTGGATATTTAAGTCTATATACCGGTGGTGTATCTATACCCAAAGAGGGAAGCCTAGTTATGAGGCTTTTGCAATCAGGTGAGAGATATTGGGTGTGTGAACTAGGGTAGACCATCTAACACCTCTCCAAGAGGTGGGAAGATTTGGGAAATAATAGATAAAACCATAAACTCTCTCTATGTGTGTGCATTATTACGCAAAATGTTGTCTCTAGGATCGTTGTCTCTAGGATTTCTTCTATTGATTTATGCAATAAATGTTTATCAAATGCCTACCATGTGTGTGTGAGGCAAACGTGAGGGAACAACACAGACACAGACACAGACCCTGCTCTCTTGTGGCTCACAATCAAACGAATGTACAGAAAATAAATAGGAAATCAATCAGGGCTAAGTGACAGTGACTCAGGGAACAACATGAGATAACCTGGTCAGGGGAAAGCCCTCTGAGAAGGTGATATCTGGATTATAACTCAGGGAAGAGAGTCAACTGGGACTGGAGAAGAACATTTCAGATAGAAGGACAAGGAAGAGCAAAGGCCCTTGGGTCAGAAAAAGGTTGGCACTTTTTAGGAATGCACACCAGTGTGAATGTCAAGCAGTTTACTGGGGACCATCTCACTTGGATGGGGCAGAGAGGGAGGCAAGGATCATATCATAAAGCCTTAGTGGCCACTGCCAGGAGTTTGAATTTTATTTTAAGATTGGAGGCCATCAAATGACTGAAAAAAAAATGACTGAGTTAGTGAAAGATATAGTCTGGTTTAGATTTTATTTTTGTTAACTTTTAATTTTTTATTTTAAAGATAAAATAAAAAATTGGGGTACAATTCAGGGTTAGGTATACAAATGTTCATTATGCAGGTACCCTTGTTGATGAGGTGTGCCCTCCCTTTCCCAGGCAGATTCCCACTACTGCCAATCCTGTCTCCCTGCCCCCCTGCAGTTTGGTTTATATTTTAAACAAGTCACTCTGGCTCCTGAATGAAGAAGAGATTATGAGGGTCAGTGTGAAAGTAGGCAAGAATGAAAACAGGGCACAAGGTAAGATGATGTGGCACTGGCTCTGGTCCAGGTGTTGGTGACTTAGGCGGTTCCAAGGACAGGGAGGGAAGTAAGTGATCATATACAGAGCCTATTTTACAGGTGGAATTGACTGCCTGCTGATGGACTGATGGGATGTGCAGGTGAGTGGCAGGAAGGAATCAAGGATGCCTTAGGGTAACTGGCAATGCCATTTGCTGAGACAGATGGGAAAGGAAAGGATTTGGGAAGAAAAGTTGAGTTCAGCTTTGGACATATGAAGTGTGAGATGCTGGTTACTTCAATGGAGATGACAAATGGCAGCTGGAGAAATACATCTGTAACTCTAGAGAGGTCCTCGCTATAGGTTCACTTCTGTGGGTCATTGGCAGGACGATGATATAACCGCCTCCCCCAGGGAGAGAATGTATCTAGTTCAGAGAAGGCAGTGAGGGCAGCTCTGGAATACCCAGCTGTTTAGCAATAGAGAAAACATTAGCAGAGAAGGCTGGGGAGTGAGGTTAGTGGGAAACCGGCAGAGCAGACCATCCGCGCTCTCACTGAACCAGAAAGGTGTGTCCAGATGGAGGATGTGATTAACTGTCTCCAACAACCCTGAGAGGCAGACAAGACAAGGGCAGGGAAGAGAACACAAGATTTGGCAACATGTAGATTATTATGGTGACTATGACAAAAGCAGTTTGGGCCCAATTCTGATGAGTACAGGGGAGGAGTGAGGATGTGTATTTGGCAGGGTATATGGCTTTCATGAAGTTTTGCTGAGCCCAGTGTGGTGGCACACACCTGTAATCCCAGCTACTTGGGAGGCTGAGTAGAGGATTATTGAACCCAGGAGTTGAAGACCAGCCTGGGCAACAGAGCAAGACTCTGTTTTTTTCCCCCTAAAACAAACAAACAAGAAGAACAAGAACAAGAGCAAGAAGGAGGAAAAAAAGGAAGTTTTGCTGAGAAGCTGGATCATGGATTTTTTTCCTGTTTATCCATACACGACTACCTACTTCTCAACAGTGAGCACTGATTACTTATTATGTCTATACACCTCAGATAGCACCTCACAGTTCGAGAGAAAGAGGAACTCCTCAGTAGAACACGCAGACCTTCATCTTTTCTACACTGTCACTTTTCCAGCCCAGGTTTGCCATTCTCCACCAGCAACAATCTCACGTCTGCTGAAGCCAGTATTTAATTCTTGCCAGCTCCCACCATATACGTATACATTTGGAGTCTGGTGGCAGGCATTAGCTGTGGCTGGGGCTCCCACTCCTTTCAGCATCGGTAAGCCACCTCACCCTATCCCAACCACACATTTACCATCCACCCAGAGTTGCAGACAGTGTTCCTACTTCCCGCCATCTACTTTCCTGGCTCGTAGAGAGGCAGGATAGGATGATAGGGAAGAGAACAGGGCCTCAAAGTCAGATGGATATGGATTCCTCTCCCCATCTGCTATGTATTAGTTGTGTGACCTTGGACCCCGTGCCTCAGCTTCCTCATCTGTAAAAGGAGGTTAGTAAAACTCACATCCTATATCATTGGTGGGAAGGTTGGGTCGATTCTTGTATTGCCTGGTACAGAGCAAGCAGCAGCCAAAGCGGCTCACTGTCCATCAGTGCCGCGCGGACCGACAGTGCCACAATAGGTAAGAACTTGGATGCTTCAGACGTGTGACCCGGGTGGTGGGAGCCCTTCACATGACCCTGAGATACCAGACGGTATCTCTCTCCGCACAGGGCGTGTGCTGGTCTAGTGACCCGTTTTTCCGGTCGCCCCGCACCCCGGGGCCGCGATCACGCGCCCCCCACCCATAGCCGAGCCTGACGCGGCGACGGCTCATGCGCCTTTCCGCCGGAGCCTCTCGCCACGGACCACACGTCCCACCCCGGCGCCGGGCCCCGCCCCCGTCCCCGGCGCGCCTCCCCAGCCAGCCGGCTCGGGTGTCGGAGCGGCCGCGCCCGCGAGCCGTGCGCGTCGATTGGCTGCGCCGCGGCGGCGGGCGGCCCGCGGGCGCACACACCCTCCCCGCGCAGCCAATGGGCGTGCGCACGTCACCGACAGGCGGCCCGCGAGCCGGCAGCCCCTCAGTAAGCCACATTGTTGCACGAAACTCCGGCGCAGGAGTCCCCGGCCGCCGCTCGCAACGTCGTGTCATCCGGCTGAGACATCCGCGGGCGGGCACCACGCGCGTGTGAGCCCGAGAGGTCCAGTCGCCCTCGTGGAGCCGGGCTGCTCTGCTTCTCAAGTTGAGCCGCAGTGTTCCCGTGGCTGAAGTTAGCGCCTTGGCGTGGGACGACTGGACACGTCGCCGAGAGTGACACTTAGGCGCCCTCTAGCACTTGCGACTCCAAAATCCCATCTCCAGGACCCCGCAGCCGGGCGCGCCCTCGCCGTAAGCCTTCTTTGTGTGCCGCCAGGACTGTCCGCTCCCGGCCCGGCCGCCGTGCCCAGGTACGAAGCGGTCTCATCGCACCGCCCGCCTCTCCTGCACGCACTCCTGCCTCGGTTTCCCCGCTCGGCGCCGTCGGGCCGCGGCAGGATGATCGCCTCACATCTGCTCGCCTACTTCTTCACAGAGCTCAACCATGACCAAGTGCAGAAGGCAAGTAGGCGCGGGCAGGGCGGTGGGCTTGCTTCCGACAAAGTTGCGCGGTCCCTGGAACAGTCCTCGACCCTGCGGGGACCCATTTCCTCCCTGTTCCGGGCCAGGCGCTGAAAAGTCTGGGCTGCCGGGAAACTCCTGGGCGCGAAGAGCCACGTCCGCTAGGCATCGGCG